AGAGGAAGAAGGCATGCAGTCAGCTCGCCCCAGGCTGGCACAGGTGGGAAGAGACACCTCCGAGCCTGCCTTACGCACTGTTCCCTCTTGTCTCACCTTTTCACCTCCTTTCTTCTGCAGCATTGGGAAGGCACCGCCCATGAGCATGTAAAGACACCGTCCCTGCCCTGAGGACTCAGAATCTGGCTGTGGCAATGAGGTGAGAGGGAAATTCAGTGCTGAGGTTTCTGGCTTGGTCCTCCGTGAGAGAGAAAAAAAACCACTGTCAACAAACCCCAAACCCATCGACCAAATGATGCTGGGAGGATGCAGCTCGGCAGCCTCTGGGGCAAATGAGGTCGCACGACAGCTTGGGCCCAGAAGCCGAGATGACAGGAGCAGAGGATGAGGAGGAGCGGAGGAAGCTTGAGAAGAGGGGTGTGTGGGGCTCAAAGGGAATGAGGCCAGGGTGTGTGGACTCCCAGGGTTCCAGGCTGCTGGGCCTGACGCGGCCAGGAGGTGAGGAGGACAGAGGGCATGGACGGGGGAGGATGTGAAGAGAGGGCTTCTGTGTCCCAAGAGGCGGAAAGAAACAATTTGGAAAGAAAAGCCAATGTCCCAGAGAACCCACGAGATTAGGATGTTACATAGCAAGACCCGCTGGCCCCGGGGGGAGGCTCGCCGGGCCCTGGGCCCCTCACAGGAGCGGGGTGGTGGGGAGGCCGCCGGGCTGCGGTGACCTAGATTTGTCCATATGAAGCAATTTGCAGAGGAGGCGGAGTGAGGAGGAGCAGGGAGCGGAGACAGTTAAGGAGAGTTGTTTAAAGTTTAGTACAAAAGGCTATATTCTGGAAGAATATCATATATGGAAAAATATCCTGAAAGTAAATTACATCTAGAAAATTTGTACTTTAGAAAATTAATTGTAATGCTATCAGCAAGACACCCATGAAAAACGCACATGGTGTCAAAACAAGCCAGAGGAAAATCATTTGGGCAAAAAAATGAAAAAGGATCCCGTCAAATTTATAGAAAATATTCCTTTATTAACTTTTGGTCGAGAATATGTTTGTATATTTTCAGAAAGCAACTCCGAGACCATGTGGATTCTGGCAACAGAGAGGAAGTGACAGGACTGCTCCAGCCAGGAAGACAGAGAGAAACAGTCCAGAGATGGAAGACGCTGATGACGCCTTGCCATACTAGCAGACAGCAGCTGTGCGTCGCTGAAGGTTTCCCAGGACCAAACCAGAGAGGGTGGAACCTGCATTACCACCATTTGCCCACCATCCAGAACTGAAATATCATTGCTGACATGTACACATAAGGAACTGTTTGACATTGAAATCGGGTCTCAAAAGAACTGGTGGCCCAAAAAGAAATTCTCTACAGACTGATTCATATGCCTTTCAGGATAACAATTATTGCTTGTCTCATTTTCGATTCTCATAAGTATATTTCCAGTAGGACATGATCTCACTCATCTAGGGGAAATGGTGAACAACATAGACTGATGAACAAGAACAGACCCAGAGATAAGGAGCCATGGGTCAGACTGTTGGACCTCAAAGGGAGGGTGGGGATAAAAGGGAGAGATCAACCAAAGGACTTATGTGCTCAAATATGAGCCTAACCAGTGGTCAAGGACAATAGGGGGGTGGGAGCATGAGTGGGGGGGGGGGATTGAAATGGGGGGGTTAAGACAAATATGTGATACCTTAATCAATAAAGAATTTTTTTTTTTTAAAGGCTACCTTCTGGAAAAGGCAAAACCAGTGAGGAAGAGATCAGGTCAGTAGGTGCCAGGAGCTGCAGAGGGGCGCGAGGCTGGTCCTGGTTTGTATTTTCATTAAGGTGACAACTACGAAACTGCACACGCTTGTCAGAACGTGTTGAAATGTATACTTTAAACAGTTGAATTTTGCTGTAGGTAAGTTGTGCCTCACTCACCTGGCTTGAAATCAAGTTGGCAGAAGTGTCAAAAGTTACATACTACAACTTAGCTGGGGAAGACCAAGAACAAGCAAAAACTCAGCCTCTGGCCCTGCCAGGCGGCTCAGTTCGTTGGAGCACCATCCCGATAGGCCAAGGTTGTGGGTTCAATCTCCGGTCAGGGCACATGCCAGAATCAACCAATGAGGCATAAATATGGGGAACAACAAATCGATCTCTTTCTAAAAATAACAACAACCACAACAATCATAATAAATAACTTCTAAAAATTCAGCCTCTGAATTTTTTGGAATATAAACTTTTTATAAGTCTCATTCCCAATAATATTGAGAGGAAGACTTTAAACTTGCCAATTAAAGGAAAACTAGTGTCTGCCACTTTAACAGTTTTATTAAAGTTGTTCAGCCTCTTTTGAATAAACATTCAGGCCAAGTCCTGCCTGCACTATTACCTGCTCTCTGGGCGCACCTCCTGTTGGTCCCATACGCCCCTCTCCTGGCCCATGTACAAGCCTGGGGCAGTGGGAGAGGTGGTTGGCCTGGGTGCTGGACCCTGTGCTGTCCTCTGGTCCGAGGTGGCCTCTCAGAGATGTGCTTCACCCGCCTGATCCGCTGGCGTCGTGGCTGACGTCCTGGCTGGTGGGGCAGTGGCTCACCTGGCTCCTTTGTCCTGCCTCAGCCCCGAGGGTTCTGTAGATGCACCTGTCCTATGTCCCTACATTTTCTGTTCTCTAAGGTCGGTCCCCAGGCTCTTAAGCCTCTGCCTTCCCTGGGGGCTCGGTGACTTCCAGGTTGTTCCTGGGCCTCAGAGGGGAACTGAAGTGGGGCGGGGTGAGGGCCAGGGAACTTCTGCAGTCCCTCTCCCAGGCTAACCATGCCACGCAGGTGTCTCTCCTTGCCTGCAGCGGCCCCAGGGGGTCTTATGGACACACCACTTGGTGACTGTCACAGGGCAGCAAGGGAACAGTGGGGCACAGATCTTCCTCTTTCTGGCGTGCTCTCCTCTGTGCCAGTTGTCAACTTCCCGCAGCGCCATTAAGGTCGGATGTGGTGGGAGGGCACAGGCCGGGACCTCCCCAGCCCCTCCCTCTCCCTCCAGACACCAGGGGGTTTGCACTTCCTCTTTCTGTTTCAGAGAAATGCCGTTCTGCCCTGTTTTCCTCCTTCCCCGCCCTTCCGATTTTGTTCTAGGTGGTACCCATCTCTCTCCTTCCCTGGGCCAGCAAGCCCCATGGTGATGGCTCACTGAGGATGAAAATACCTTGGGAAGTGTTTCCAAACAGTATCGTCATTGCAGCAGGATTTCAGAATGAGGCGGCCATTTCCAGGGGAGTGTTTGCTGGCATAGTAAGGGACTGTCCTTAAAATGATACAAGTTTTCTCAAAACGACGGCATTCGCATCCACCCAGATACACAACACGCACTACGTTATCTTTCCAAAGTTTGCCTCGTTATCTTTTCCCCCAAGCTTCTTCCTCTGCTGTTTCTAAGTCAGAAGTTGAGAGTTCTAGGCTGGATATAAATATCCAGTCTGCACATTCTTCGTCCTTACTCTGGATGAACGCGTCTCTCTCCCCCGCTCCCATCCTCGAGGCTGCCGCCTTAGTCCAGGCCCTTGCATTTCTCCCCTGGGCTGTTGGAATGGTTTTCTGATCGATCTTTCCACCCCCAGGCTTGTTCTTTGCTTTCCTCTACCATCCTCCTTGCCGCTGGCAGGATCTTCCCAAACACATGTCGTACTGTGTTACTCCTCGGCTTACAATCCTCCTGTGGGGGCCCCATGCCTCTGTACTCGGCGCCTGACCATTTTTCACGTCTCATCTCCTCCTGTGTGCCTTTGCATGTTCTGTTCCCTATGGCTGGAATATCCCCATTCTCCTTAAAAACAAACAAACATATATATATATATATATATATATATATATATATATATATATAAAATTGATTTTTTTACGGAGAGGAAGGGAGAGGGATAGAGAGTCAGAAACATCAATGAGAGATAAACATGGACCAGCTGCCTCCTGCACACCCCCTACTGGAGATGTGCCCGCAACCAATGTACATGCCCTTGACCGGAATCGAACCTGAGACCTTTCAGTCCGCAGCCCGATGCTCTGTCCACTGAGCCAAACCGGTTTTGGCCCCATTCTCCTTCTTATGTAACATTCAGCTCCAAGATTTCCTCCCTCCCTAAAGCCTTTCTTGTCCCTCCAAGCAAGAACTCTATGCTAAAGTCATCATGGTGCCAACTCGCCTCTCTTAGGAACTGACCACACAGCATTGTATTACAATGTAGGCTGTGATCTCCTTGAGGCCAGCGATACAACCTTCACACTCCGTTTCCCCAGCACGTAGCACAGCGTCTGGCCCAAGCCGGTCGGTGATGACCATCAACCTTAGTGTGGGAAGAGATCTTGGAGGTCCTTGGGTTCAATGTTTGCATTTCCAGAAGAGTCTCAGAGAAGGGAAGTCCCTCGGCTTACCTCCCACAGCTTAGACCTGCCTTCAGGTTCAGGGGTCTTTCCACCACTCTGTAGGGCCTCTGGACACAGGGGAGAGGAGAAGAGGGGTTGGAACCGGGCTGTGGGCAGTGGTCCCTGAGAAAACACCAGAGTGAGGAAAAACACTTAGCTCAGCGCCTGGGATAACTTATTCTCCTGCAGGAAAATGGGTCAGCCCCACAAAGGGTTTTTTGTAAAACCCTCTCACCTGTGCAATCGGAGAGACGCACACGCTGTCAGCGTGAGCAGCTGGCGCGGAAGTTCCCATCACGATGCTGAGGAGGAGACTTAAGTATTATAGAAGGCTGGCTTGTTCACTACCCATTTGCTTGAGGCCAGACAATTTATCTAGCCCGATTCCGAGAACCATCACCACTGGCTTTTTATGGCTTTATTTCTTGAAATACAAAATGTGTATTTTATGGTTTTTAAAAAGCAGCCATACTTCCTATAAGCCCTTACCTTGCTTCCTCCTGGAGTCTCAGTGTGGGGTGATGGAGGAGCGTGGGCTTGGGGGCACCTGACCCAGATTGAGTGGGGTCTGTGGCTTACTGACGGCACGACCTAAGGCCGTGGTCGGCAAACTCGTGCGTGAGTCAACAGAGCCAAATATCAACAGTACTATCGAAATTTCTTTTGAGAGCCGAAAACCCTACTTCTGCGCTTGGGCCACGAAGTTTCTATCGCACCGTACGTGTGTGCCCACAGGTGGTATTTGGTAAAAGAGCCACACCCAAGGGGCCAAAGAGCCGCATGTGGCTCTCGAGCCGCAGTTTGCCAACCGCGGATCTAGGACAAGTCACGGACCTGCTCTGTGTTTCAGCGTTTAGGTTGAAGTCATGCTGGTCTGCCATGGCTGTCCTGGGCGTGAAAGAAGGCACGGGGGAAGCAGCTGCCAGGGCGGGGAGGGCTGGCCCTGCAGCCAGGGAGCCGGGGTTCCACTTCCCCTTCGGCCGCTTGCAAGGGGTGGCCTCCGACATGCTCCTTCTCTCTGAGCAGCTGAGAATTGCCCGAGTCCGATGTGGCACGTGGACAGTGCCTGGCATATAGGAGGCACCATCGAAGGGTAAGCCAGAGACAGTGCAGATGTGGAAGTTCTCAAACGAAGGCCAAGTGTTGTAGAACACCCTCACACATCCATTTTCCTGGCCTGCTATTTGGAGCTCTGAAAGCTTTTACATTTTATTTTATTTTATTTTATTTTATATTTATTTATTTATTTATTTATTTATTTATTTATTTATTTTAAAGTATCTATTTAGGTCCATTGCCCATTTTTTAAATTTTTATTTTATTTTAATGATTTTCCACAGAGAGGAAGGAACAGGGATAGAGAGCTAGAAACGTCGATGAGAGAGAAACATCGACCAGCTGTCTCCTGCACACCCCGTACCGGGGATGTGCCCGCAACCAATGTACATGCCCTTGACCGGAATCGAACCCGGGACCTTTCAGTCCGCAGACTGACGCTCTACCACTGAGCCAAACCGGTTTCGGCTAGCTTTTACATTTTAATACAGGTATCATAAGCGCTTGGTGAGGAACATTATAACTACTTTGAACACAAGCTTGGCTATCGTGTTCATTTCTTAGTGCTTGAAGTACTTTGATACTGTTATAGTGCTCTATGAGAATGAATTGTTAAGTGTGTCACCACCTATTTTTCCCCAAAAAAACACCAACTCACCTTGACAGTAAAAACAAATGTAAACAGTACCACATTAAATTCTCAGCCTTTCAACACGTTTCCCCTGTGATGACATTGTGTTATTCAGATATTAAGTCTATTTGAACATGAAAAAAAAAAAAAATAGTGTAAGCCAGCGAAACGCTGAGCCCTGTGCCAGGCAGTTCACACCCGGCCTTCCTGTCTCCGCTCCGCCCCAGGGGGAGCCCGGGCTGCGCATCTGTGTGGTGGACGCCCATGACCCACCGCCCACCCGAAGCAGCTCGGGTGAACCTGGAGGAACCAGGCCCGTCTCTTCCTCTGTTGAGCCAATGACCAGTGAACTCTCTGTTGGTCCCTGGAGTCACCCTGCGCCTGGAGCCTGTCTCCCACCCCCAGGCTTTGCGCATCAGGAGCAACCAGGGCAAGCCCAGCCTTGGGTGGCCCCTCGGCTCCCGGACCCAGGGCGTGCGGTTTCCTGCTGGTCTCATCTCAGGTGCTTTGTGCAGGGCCTCGGCCTGGGCTCCGGACACCGAAACCTGCCCGCGGCCTGTTCAGACCTGTTGTCCTCGGGTTTATTAGTCTCGGCTCACTTGCTAGACTCTCGGCGCTGCATGCCAACCCGTGGCCATCCCCATCCAGACGCATCCCCGGGTTCTGAGCAGAACGCTGGGCCCCAGCCCTGGTCGTGTTCTGGGAGCCGGTGAGGGGGAAGCAGGTGGGGCAGGGCCAGACCCTGAGAAGAGCAGGAGCCTGACTCCTGCTGCTGCCGGGAAGGAAAAGCAAAGACAGCGAAGGCCTGTGGGTCCTGCGTCTGTGTCTCTTAGAAACCCCTGTGCCCCGTGACAGCGCTGGGCCCAGCAGCCCGGAGACGGAAGAGACCCGAGAGCTCCTGCAGGCCCGCTCTGGCCTCGGCCTGATGCCAGCGGCCACACGCAGGCATCCCGGACGGCTGGTCCCCCAGGCCCGGCCGGCGTCCGTGAATGAATGTGCTCTGTCAGGTGCTCACTCCCTTCCACCTGCTCCCACGTGTCTAAGCCCCTCCACTGGCCGCACATGTGGCGTCTGAGACTTTGGCCCAGTGCTCCTGGCCCCTCTGCCAGGACCTAGGGGGTCTGAGCAGTGATCCCACCCCCTCCACACGCACACACCCCCTCTTTGCTTCTCTAGGCTAAACACCCTCATGGTTCCTCAGGTAACAGGATCTCCAGGCCCCCGCCCCGTTCTGCCCGCTGTCACTGGGTTTATTTTCTGTCCACAGAGAAGCAGCTGTAACCATAACAATGACGCCAGCAGATATTTAGGGATCTACTGGGGGCTGGGCACCTCACCAGGTGCAGGAGGGGGAGGGGCACACAGGTGTCACACCTGGACTCTGTCCTCAGGGAGCTGACCACAGAGGTGAGAGGGAGACAACCTACCCTCACGTCTGCAGGGGATGGCGGCCACCTGCCATATGTATGCCTAAGTGCTAAAAGTTTAAGAGTTAGGTCAGTGGTCGGCAAACCGGCTCTCGAGCCACATGCGGCTCTTTGGCTCCTGGAGTGTGACTCTTCCGCAATACCACGTGCGGGCGCACATGTACAGGGCGATTGAAACGTCGTGGCCCATGCGCAGAAGTCGGTTTTTGGCTCGAAAAAAATTTTCAATCGTTGTGCTGTTGATGTTTGGCTCTGTTGACTAATGAGTTTGCCGACTACTGAGTTAGGTGGATAATAGCTAAAGGACACAAAGTTTCTTTTAGTGGTGATGAAAATGTCCTAAACACGGGGACGGTGAAGGCTGCATATCATCTGTGCACACACTGAATTGTACACTTTAAGTGGGTGAATTGCATGGTAGGTGACTTACATCTCAATAACACTGTTTAGGATTTGAAAAGCTTAAGTGCTAAAACACCTTGAAAAGTATTTCTTCCTAAGGAGCCTGCAGGGCGAGGTGTGACGTTCTCAGAGTCCTTGGAGTTCTGCGTGGGAATGTGGCCATGCAGGGAGAGCCGGCCTGGCCCGCACACCTCCCCACCCCCTCGCTCCCACCCCAGCTCGGTCCTGCACCCCGAGCGGCCCATGAGCACGCCTCACCGGTTCCAGCTCCATCCACAGCCCCCGCCAGCACCCTCACGGCCAGGGGTGTGCACGCGGGTTGTGGGTCTACCCTTGGAAGGCCAGGCTGGGAGCAGACACCATCCCAGGCCCTGGTGGAGGAGGAGCCGCAGCCAGGGAACTCTGGAGCGTGGGCAGGGCAGGGCTCTGCCACAGAATTCCATCCGGGAAGCTGGCAAAAGGGTGGCTGCAAGCCTCGTGTGGCATTGAGCACCGGAGTGTGGCGTTGGCACCTGAGGAATTGAATTTTTAATGAAGTAACATTTACATCCAAATTGCCACATGTGGCCAGGGACTACCCCAGCAGACGGTGTAGGTCTAGAAAGGGGAGGGTCGGGTTGGACTGGACCTGTCCTGTTGACTTTGCGGACTGCATCCCAGGAGGAGGGGGTGAGCCAGAGGAGGATCAGTGGTGCTCCCAGAGCTCAGGAGGATCCTGGAGAGGGGGGTGAGGTTTGTTCTCAGAAGGAAGCTGCCATATAAGGCAGCACGTGCTTGTCCAGCTGAGCTGAACTCTCCAGATCCCTGAGGAGGGAGAGGCAGATGGCTGGGGCTGGGGGAGGGAGTGACTGGAGGGCACCCCCAGACAAGCCCTCCTGGGGTAGGTATCTATCTGAGGGGCCGGGTTTCACATAGGAGGCTTGCTTTGGTGGCTCAGGCCCGCGGGTCTTGGCAGAGCGAGAAGGCCCGGCTATTTTTTCTGCCGAGGCCATGTGAACGGGCCGGCAGAGCGCATAGTTTCCATGGCATAATCCGACTATAAAGCCCTGTGTGTCTGGGAGGGAGGGAGGGAGGGACAAGGAGAGGCCCTGGTCCTGGCCTCAGTCAGAGCTGGGCGCGGGCCCAGGAGGCACATTCCCTCCAGACTCCTGCAGGGTCCTGGGCCGTGAGGATGGGAGCGCAGGGCGCGCCTGGCTGGCCCCGCCTTGGGGAGCTCCTTTGGTGGCTTGTTGGGGTGAGGGTGTGGGCTCTTCCAGAAGCCTGGTATGTGGGAGAGGAAGGATAATCTCTGGGGAACTGGGCCGGGGCGAGGCGCAGAGAACACAGGATGTGGATTCACTGGGCCAAGGAGAGCCTCCACGTCTGCACGTGGCCACCAGCTCCCACCTGCAAACAGAAGCTGGCTCGGGCTGGCTGCGGCCCAGGCTCCAGGAGGAACTGGAACAGGCTCGTTTGCGGGAGAAAGGATGTCTCCAGAGACCAGACGCCACTTGGCCAGCAGAGAAAGGTATTCAGTGAACCAGCCTAGAATGGCTCTGGGCCAGTGACTCAGGGGCTCGGCAGGTGGAGCCAGGGATGCAGAGCACAGGCTAATATTTACTCGTCAGCTACTGGGTACCAGGCTCTGTGCCAAGTGTTTTGCATGTTTCCTCTCATTTGGAGCAACACAGATTAATCATCATTGTAATAGCAAATAGTTGTTGAGTGTCTACTAGGGGACAGACATTAGTCTGTTTAATTCTCATAACCCGCCCCCCCGCCCCTGTCTATGGGGTGAAGGAACTATGCCTCATGGATCGTTTTGCCCCAAGGCACTCTGCCAGGAAACGGCCTAGACAGGATTTGACCCCACACTCTGACCCCACACTCCCTGCTCTTAACCATGGACGTTTAGACAGACGTCCTGGCTGTAGGTTTTCTGGGGCTCTACCCCCAGGGCCTTGGAAATGGACCCTCAGCTCTGAATTATTCAGATTTCCCCAAAGCTCCTGCTTCCTGTCGCTACCCCGGCCCCTCCGGGGTCTCGGAGCTGTCGTCTCAGAGGAGCTCTGTCCTCGAGAGCGGCTGTCCCTTCGCCTGCTCGGAGCTTGTTGTGACGTGTGGGGTGGCAGCCCCAGGCCAGGCCATGGCCCAAGACAATCCTGCCTTTTTGAGAGGCGGGCTGAGCCTCCAGCCGCAGGCCACAGCCTGGGCACACAATGCCCTCTGTCTCCGTCAGGGCAGAAAGGCGCATTATTGTGGTCGGGTGACTCGGCCCTGCTGGGGTGATGTTTGCGGCCTGCACATCCCCCACAGCGTGCTGCCCAGAGGCGGTGCGGGGCACCAGGGCCTGGGAGTCCCTTCCTCTGGAGGCACCTGCCCTGCCTCGCAGATCAGACTTGTCCCCTCACCTCCCGTCCCTCCATAGGTCTTTCCCTGGATCCACACCTCACCCCGCTGAGCCTTTGAATGCTCTCATTTCAGTTATTCTGGGAAGCACACGGTACTGTGCCCGATATATCGGGCTCTCCCCAAATGTGACTTTCTCTTCTGTTTTCCTTTTCTGGTTTCTCATGTTGGGATTTTTTGTAAGTTAGAGATAATTCTGTTATCATAAATTTTTACAGAGACCCCGAAAACAAGTGTGTTCTTTTTTTAAAAAAATATTTTTATTGATTTCAGAGAGTATGGAGAGGGAGCGAGAGATTGAAACATCAATGATGAGAGGGAGAATCATTGATCGGCTGGCTGACTCCTGCATGACCCTTATTGGGGATCGAGCCCACAACCTGGGCATGTGCCCTTGACTGGAATCAAACCTGGGACCCTTCAGTCTGCAGGCCGACGCTCTATCCAGTGAGCCAAACCGGCTAGGGCACAAGTACATTCTTAGCAGCAATAACAGCCACAGTTCGCTAAGCCCTAGCATGTGCCAGGCACCGGGCCAAACCCATATCCGCACAGCAGCCCCGGGAGGGGGTGCTCATTCTAGTCCCCCGTTAAGTGTAAGAAATGGAGCCTCAGAGGACTTGAGTGTCTCACCCAGGATGGCAAAGCTAGTAAGTGGTGCAGCTGGGATCACACTCAGTCCTTTTTCCTTTCTTTTTCTTTTTTTTATATATATATTTTATTGATATTTTACAGAGAGGAAGAGAGAGGGTTAGAGAGAGTTAGAAACATCGATGAGAGAGAGTCATCGACCAGCTGCCTCTTGGACACCCCCTACTGGGGATATGCCCGCAACCAAGGTACATGCCTTTGACGGGAATCGAACCCGGGACCTTTCAGTCCGCAGACCGACGCTCTACCACTGAGCTAAACCGGTTTCGGCAGACCTTTTTCTTTTTTATGTCACTTTTTATTATTGTTATTTTTTGTTTGTTTAAAACATTTTTTTATGTTCAATATTATTTTATATTAGTTTCAGTGTATAGCGAGATGTTAGATAATCATGCACTCTACAAAGTGCACCCTCTTACCCCCGATATTCCCAGTACCCACCTGGCACCACACGTGCTTATGACAACAGAGTTGACTATACTCCCTGTGCTGTGTTCCATTCTCGTGCAAACTCAGTTCTGGCCGAGTTCAAGTTCTCGTGCTTGACTGCTGTGTTCCAGCGCTGGTTCGTTTCCCAGGGCTCCACAACAAAGCACCCAGAACCGGTGGCCTAGAACAACAGGCGTCTACTGTTTCCCCGTCCTGGAGGCTTCAAGTCCAAGATCAAGGCATCGATAGGGCTGGTTCCTCCTGAGGGCCGGGAGGGCAGACCATCCAGGCCTCTCACCGGCTTCTGGTAGCTCGCTGGCGATCTTCATGTGGTCCCCCGCTGTGTGCGTGTCTGCCTGTGTCCAGATTTCCCCTGACCATTAGGACACCCATGGTGTTGAATTAGGGCCAACTTGAATGACCTTATTTTAATTTGGTCATCTGCAAAGGCATTATTCCCAAATAAAGTCACATTTACAGGTTCTGAGGGTTAGGGCTTGAACAACTCTT